ATGCAGCTAGCCTATTCAGCAGGATTTGAACTCTAGAATGAACTACCAGTATTCAGCAACTTTGCCACTCGGTTGCTGGTCGGCTTAAAATGTTAATAACTTAAAATTTGCGAAGATATTTGCCAGAATATTTTTCCAGCTATCACTAATTTTTTTCCAAAAAAAAAAAAAAAATCAAGCCAAAGAAAGTTGGGTGTTAGAAACTACCAACAGATTAAACAGATTATTGGTGTTCAACTAAATACAAATAATTTTAATACTTATATCTAATATAAATGTGCAGTAAAAGCCCAACTACCTGGTATTCAAGTAACCAAAAAGCTTAAGTACTTGGAATATTTTAGAATATTTCTTAAATGAAAAATTATGCTACTAACAGACTTATACAGGCACACAATGCATGTATTGCACTACTATTACTTAGAATTCCATTTATAACATCTAAAATATGAATAAAATTATACGGCTCTGTTTCAGAAGATAGTGTTAACTACTTCTCCAAAGTTGCATCCATCATATTATTCTAAGAATTCATCTTTGAAACCGGAAAAAAAATCTAGAGGAGAGTAAGAATAAGGTATTAAAATTATATACTCCTCATATACATCTTTCCCAGACTTTTTTTTTTAAAAAGTCGCTAGACTAAGTATGATTCAAAGTATAAGACAGATACGAAAAAAAAAAATATCATCTTCACTATGCTTTTATTATTTGCACCTGGAAGTCATATTCTGAAATAAATATGAATTTTGAATAGTCATATTAATTTTTGACAAGCTGATTTAGTTTTAGTAAAGAAGGATACAAGTTAACAGCTGTTTATCAATTTTCCCTTATACTTTGAAAAAAGATTAAATTTTCAGATCTTTCTTCATTGAGTAGTGTGTACTAGAGTGTTTTTAATGTTATGGGATCCTGACATTAAGAAAAGTTGTGTTACTGATCATGACATGAAATTTTATTTCAAAATGGTTTAACACTGGCGATACAATGCAAAAAAATTATGAGAACCTTTTTTCAGCTTTTTTTATATGGTATGTTCCTAAGGTGTATCTGCTGATTAGCTAATCAAATAAAGAGCAGTCTATTACTTCAAACTTCTTCCAATATGGCTGGTGCAATTTTGGCAGGATCTCCACCAACTTTCATGGTCAACGAGATTTTGTAACTGATTCACATGTTTTATACGATTAAGGCCTGTGAAATACATCCCCTTTTATGGCTGAAATGCATTTTCTCTCTAAATTTTCCGTAATTTTAATTGCAAGCTTTTGGTAACAAATAAAGTGACTCCTTTTATAATTCTGACTACTATTTTGACCTACAAAAAGTCATGAAAATATGCTGATGATGCAACTCACCAAAAATTATTGTGGCAACCAGGTATGTATGTAAAATCCCACTAGACAGCCTTCTATTTTTATCGACTTTTTGCTACTGTAACTGCAGATTACGATTTCTCCTATGGGAATTTCAGTATTTTAGCATCGCAGTGGACCACATATTGCAGTTTTCATCACTCATTTCTCAGACAGCTTTCTGCATGCAAACAGAGCACTATGGCTTGCTTAAAAAACATCATGTTATGGAGGTGAGATAGCTGATAATGTCTGATTACCATAGCAAATCAAATGTTTTTTGTATACCTATGAAAATTATGACTGAATGTTTCTGTTTACTTTCTTCTAGTATGCCTATCAGATTTTGGACAGCACATTCATTGGCTTCTTCATTATGTGTATTGGCTGAAATGCAGTGTTAACAAATATTGTAGGAAATACTTAAGTCTGTTCAATACAATTTTCTCCAGGATTGCAAAATGCTTTAGATGGATCTATGATTGTGAAGGTGGATGGATCTTTACCATCTCTAAGAAAGTGTGCAACTTCTTTAATCTGGTACCACCTACAAAAGAAGCACGGGAGTGGCTCTTGTCACTGAATATACTTTCTACTACTTCCATGACTGAATGGGTATACAATAGGTGAGAGACTACACTAGACGGCAGACTACCACTGGCAGTCTAAGGATTTTATTGCATGCTATTTAAAAACGGTATGAAATGGTATTATTGTTAGTACAAAAGGGTTATCACATAAACACTTTTGTTTCTTCGATACACTGCTTGCATTCAGTGAATAAATTTACACAACACTGTGTTGGTTATTTTATATGACCTGTGCTTATGTGGACAGCACACATCTGACTGAGACACAATTAAAAATGCTACCGTAGCAAATGTTGCATCATCTACTACTAAATTCTAGGTACTGAGAAGAATGCTTACTCTGTAATAGTACGGAGCTTGTAATGTGCCATTTTGTCCATCAAGCTCAGTGATGAATTAGGATTTTTGCATGGTTCAGATAAATGGAGAATTGAGGTGTATACTATCTGGCTAATACGAAGGGGCATGCATCCATCTATCTAACACTGTTGCTTCTGATTCTCACTTATTTTAGTAATTCTTCGTACAACACTAACACATTATGCTTCATATCAATGACTGGTAACAGACATAATACATTCTGCTTGGACCACATCAGTCACTGGTGACTGACAGTATACTTTCTGTTCAGACTACATCAGTCACTGGTGACTAAATATATGCTTTTCCTTCAGATCACATCAATCACTAATGACTGACAGGATACCTTTTTTCCAGTCCATGTAAGTCACTGACTGACGATATGCAATTAAAAAAGTATGTTTTCTATAAAATTCTATACAGATCTGGCTGCCAGCATATAGGTGAAATTGGAAATCAGGGGTTAAATTGGAAATGAAGACAAAACAAGCTTTGCATTTTATTACTACATGGTTAAAAACCCAATAATATATTAACAATCTCCTCCAACCTCCTGCATTGCCAATGCTTGCTTTTTTGCTGTGGGATACTTTTATGCAAGATATGTTCACATTGAACATTTCAAGAGAATTTCTACATAGTGTCACTATTCTTTTGCCTCCCAGATCTCCCACTCTTTGCCTAACAGCAAAGATAAGCAAAAAGTCAGGAAATCAGTTACAGCCAGCATAATGGAATTACAGAATATATGACAGAAAATTCTGCAAGACAGCATTCAGCACCTGGAAGTCATATCAGATCAATATCCCCATGATTAGCAACCAGGAATGGATCATACTAATATACAACTATGTTTGCTAATATATAACTATGTATGGACTTATTGTTGTCATATTTTAAGCAGTTCTTCATCTCTGTCTCCCTATTGCTCATGACAAATTTCATCAAGATAAAACAATTTTTCTAAGGGCAGAATATTTTTAATGCAGTGTACGTGCCTTATAACCTTTCATATTTGTTGGCATAGTTAATATTTCTAAGCAACCTAGAAATATTAACTATGCCAACAAATATGAATATTTATGGAATACATTTTAACTTTTATGGGGGTTCCCCCCCCAAAAAAAAGAAAACAAAAAGGAAAAAAATCGTTGAATATGCTTAATATGAAATTTTTAATCAGTGAGATAGATAGCAATGCCACTCTGCACAACCACTTTTTACACTGCATATGGATAGAACAGAAAAATTATGTTACAAATGCCAAATACTAGCTATTAAACTATGTCAAAAATTTGAAAATAATTGAAGATTTAATAAAACTTTTTAAGATATGTTTTACATTTATTGGAGTCCAGCTATCACATCACTGAATCCTTCAAAGGGAGCTAGCTAAAGAGAAGAATACTATTGATTTTCAGTTACCACAATCTTCGTTTATTTATGATAATTGTTTGAGTCATAAAAGTATATGTACTACCCTTTCTTGAACAATTCTTTCCTACATAATGAATTACAATAGCTATAGCACTAAATGATATCCACTGGTGGATTTATAGAACAGGGAACTCATTTTAGCTGATCTTTAGGCAGCTCACCTCAAGATATAAAATATGTTTCCCAGATGAGTTTAAAATACATGAAAAATACAAAAATTTCATAAAAGAGTTTTGAATTTATATTTTATATAATATAATGTAAGAAAAGCTTATGAACTAAAAAAGGACCTGTGAGGTCAAGAATTTTGTGCATTGAGCTGCAAAATTTGAAACAAAATTAAAAAGTAATTCTTCAAGCTATAGCCTATGAGCTAAAGTGATACTTCGTTCCTTTGCAAAAAAGTATAAACACAAAGATCCAATTGTAATGCAAAATGTAAAAACATAATATGTATGAAATATTAATAAAGAAAAATAGCACAAGATGAATGCTTAAAATGATTCAAATTTAAAAGTTAATATGCATGTAGAATAAAGTGTAAGCTATCTTAGAAAAAGCCATTAGAAAAAAATAACAAACACATCATATTAAAAAAAAAAAAATAAGGACTAGCAGCAGTAAATGGAATAATTAGCCTAATTCAAGTATCACCATGGACTTTTCAAGGGAAATACATAGTGACATTCGAACTATGCTAAATTCCAGAACGCGTTTTGTCGAACAGGTATTGAGACTGATAGCTAACAATTTCTTTTTAAATTAAAAAGTCCCAATATTAATTTTAACCAGGTCTCAATTTCCCTGCTCCATTTCCCGATGCGTCCGCTGTTAACAAGTATAAGAGAAATATTTTATTTGTGTAGTAAAACTATACAAGAAGCCTGGTAAGGCAAATTTATAAAAATTGTAATGATGTGGAGGAGGGAAATCGATTGATTATGTCAGATAGAGAATTACTGTAAATGAATAAATCCTTAGTAAAAAGAAATTTTCTACAATTGTATAAGCCTTTTGGCTACTATGGATAAGAGAGAAAAACAAAAATTAAACATAATTGCAGAACATTAAATATGAAATCAAGAACATAATTTTTTTCTTCCACTAAAAGTAATATCAAATTATCACAACAAATAATTTGATATAAATATCTCAGAATTAATTTTAACCCTCACAGAACCCAAAATAAAACCAAAATGATATGACAAAAATTTCTCTTACACCAAAGTAGAATTTTAAAGTTAGAGTTCAGTACATATTGTTATTGCAGTTCCTAGCATATAACAGCATACTGTATTTTCTTGTAAATTTCTTGCCACAAAATGAGCACTGAAATGGACATTCACCACCATGACATCGCAAATGAGTTCTGAGATTTTGTTTTTGAACAAAACACTGGCTGCATATTTCACAAACATATGGTTGTTCTCCGGTATGTACCATTACATGCTTCATGAAATCATACTTCCTAACAGTATGATAAGAACAAACAGAATATATGAAGAATTTAGTTTTAACTTCATTATGGAAGTCACGCATTCTGGGAAGAATTTTTGCACCTAAAAAACAAAGCAAGTCCTGAAACACATATTTTAAAAGTAGAATTCAAATATTAATTTTTTAAGAAATATTTAATATAATTTACAGACAATGTAAATAAATACACATAAAATGCATTTAAGATTCTATTATATTTTAGCAATACTTTTATTGCCTTCAATAGCTTAAAGATGACTTACAATTCTTTGATAACTGCATTAATTATAATTCCTTGAAAACTGCATTAAAAATAGAGCATCAAATTATGTTTTATACAGAATTAAACTTAATGATTAAAAAAATCAATGTCTTATTAAACAAAAACTTTCTCTGTAAGATTCAGCTGCTTATCTGAAATTAAACACTAAAAAATTTTTCTTTTCTCTCTTTTAATCAAAGCAACTGCTACCTGACAAAACAAAACAAAACTTTAAAAATAATATAAATATCAATAGCAGAACCGATAAATCAAAAACTCTATTTACTCTCAGTTAAAACTTTCTTCTCTTTGACAAAATATACATTTTTTTTTTCCTGGAAAGCTCTAAAAGTTAGTTATGTTAGTTCTAGTTATGTTGGCTGCAATAAATGGTTAAGCGAACTGTTAAATAAGATAATCAAATTAGATTCAAAATGGTGGTTTAAATTTTACAAAATTTTGAAGCAGATACTCTATTTTACAATCTGGCTCACACTTCCCAAAATTAATTAATGACCAAAAATTAAAATTTGGCAGCATATTTTTCAACAGCTGATTTAATTACCTGAACTTAAGTCCAGAGTTCTTAACTTCCTGCTACTACTAAATAATAATAAATACATAAATAAAAACACTAATTGTTGCCATATTTCAAGTTTAGAACTTTAATACCCTATGCACAGCTTTAATTTATTTCTATACAATGCAAATCAAAAACAAATGAAGTTACTTTCTCTTGAAAACTCTCATGAAACTTTACTGTTGTACAAAAGCAAAATAAATGAAATTGATAATCATCTGAAATTTTATATCACTATAAGAACCATGCAAAACGAAAACTATTGCAACGTCAGTTAAGAATCACAGTTATTTCAAACTGGCATAAGGAAAACATAGTTACAAATTAAGAATATCCGTATCATGAACATGCAGTTTTATAAATTTACCGTATTTGACGACATATAAGACGCACTGGCATATAAGACGCACCCTCAGTTAGACAGCCACATACAAGGAAAAAAATTTCAATAGCGTGGTTTCTTTTAGTTCTCACGTTTCGTAAAAGCCAAATAAACAATTATTGAATGCAATTACGTTCACGTATAAGACTGTGTTCTTCACGTATAAGACGCAGGTAACTTTTTTGAGACTAAATTTAGGAAAAAAAGTGCGTCTTATATGCCGTCAAATACGGTAATTATAAAACCCAACCAAAAACATTTAACAAATTAAGAACATCCTTATCATGAATATCTATTTTTATATATTTAATTATGAAACTCAACCAAAAACATTTATCTCAATATTAAGATGAACAGTCAAAGAAAAATTAAAAAAAGCAAAATACAGGTCAGGTTGAAGAAAGGCTGGAACCTGTGCATTCCCACAGATGTATACTAGTTATTGCTGGGACTTCTTAAGTGTCCATCCCAATTTTCAGAAAAAACACTTCAGAGGTGGTTCAAGGGTCTTCCTTACCCCCACCCACTCAAGAGGACATTTGGCTCTCACACAGGACACTGTACACTTATGAACCTCCATACCTTCTTTGGGATTTAAACTCGGGCCTACTGGTATGGCAGTCAGCATTACTAACTACTATACAGGATGGGATTCAATCACTAGTTGTTCAATAGTTAAGACCCCTGAATACCAGTAGTTCATCCAGGCAAACAGGCTGGCTGCATGGGTGGTTTTCCCCACGTGTAACGTGAATTAAAGCCAGTTTCCCTTAGAATATCCTATATGCAGGCATCCCTCCTCTTAGGCAGATAGCTCCATGAGCTTTTCCATATTCCATCAACTAACTAAAACAGAAAGGCCACTTACATTTTGGTAAGGCCAGAAAAAGTTTATTCTTTGGAAAAAAAAGTTATCCTCAAGACTGTCATCCTACTCTTTGAAATACAACAAAAAGTAATCTTTTAAATAAATTCTTTAGTTGTTTAAAAACTGCATTTGCAGAAGTTTGCTTGTATTTTTCAATGAAAACTTTTGTTTTTTAGAGTATGATGCTGGATTCTCTTTTTGATTGGATACTCTTTCACAAACTTACTTTCAAAAATTAAGGCTATGATCACTTCTTAGAAACTTTGATTAGAAACTTTCACAAACTTACTTTCAAAAATTAAGGCTATGATCACTTCTTAGAAACTTTAGAATGAAGAAAGAATTAGAAAGAACATTAGAATGAAGAAAATGTTGCTTTCTGACCTTTAATACTTCATTCTTTGAATCTGTAGAAGAAACTAATGTTATAATTGACAGGAAATTTGTACGGAATTTTCTTCTTCCTTAGCATGAGCTTCCGTGGTAACTGAAATCATATCTGGCTCACAATTGGAAGGTCCAGAGTTTGAATTCCTGCACAGCAGACCACACAGATTCATGTGCGTGATCCCCCCCCCCAAATTGCAGTGTTTGAGCTGTGAGACGACAGGCTCTTCCAGTGCAGAAGCAATAAATCATTCAGTTATAGCTCCACTTGACATTACAAGAATCATAATGTGATAGTCAGAGTCTAGGGATTTTAGCAAACTGCACTGCATCTGTCACTAAAGCCTCTTGATTTCAAGCAGGCTGATGTATCAATGATCCTGTTGCTCCTCTGATATCGTTTGAACTATAATGAATTGGAAGATGTTAACTACAACAGAGAAATTAAGAGGGCGTAACTGCAAACTGCTTCAGACAAGGCAAGAAGTATGCTCTTAGACCAGTGAGACTCTTGCACTAGCAAGATCCTTACACAATGAAGAAAACAAGTTACAATAATCATTTCTATGCTTTTAATGTTTTGTGTATTGTGAAACTTCTCATAGATTTATATTATATGTATTTTAGTTCTACATGCAACATGTAATATGCAACCTTAACAAATGCAACCAATACCAGTTACCACATGAAGCCGCGATATCAATGCAGCTGACACTCCATCACCAAAGGCATTGCTGATTTTTCATGCTTTCATCTCCAAAATATACCTAATGTTCCTACAAATTAATATGGAAAAAGCAAAGTGAATTCCTCTTTACAAAACATGAAAAAAGTATTAATGCTCTTCATTGAATTGAAAAATACTTTTGCGATACCTTTCATTTCTTACAGCTTCCCTGCTTCAAGACATGTTCGTAAGATGATTAACCAAAGAAACCACAGACTCAATAGATGATTGTTCATATTATTAATGGCTACAGGACACTGAGTTAAGAGGATGGTTTTGCTCTTGCAGGAAGCTTCACCTATTAATTTAGAATACATCAATAATGCTTTCAATGCTGTGTTAAGGGATAATTTGAAAGAATGCATAAATGGAAATTTACTTTTTTGTGATAATGCTCATTCAATTACTCTACAGCCTATAAGTTTCTGTGATTATAAAGAAAATGTTGCAAAATGTTTACATATAGCTTGTATTGCAGATGCAATAAAATGGATAACAACATTTTTGAAGATCAGTCTGAGGTTTGCTTTTTTAAACACTTAATTCAACAAGTAAATGCACAGTTTTTCAATCAGAAATCAATCTTTGCATTTATCCTGCAACTAAGCGGATCAAGGGAAATAGGATTTAAATCGCAATGTACTTTATCTGCTTGGATTCTTTCCCCACATCTTTACAGTAGTATTATAAAAAAAGCTAAACTGGTAATCAGGACTCTTTTGGCATTTTTGATATATGGTTTACTTTGGTATGAGCCTATCATCGCATTTATGGAAATGAAAGAGCTGTTTTCAGCTGAAGATGCTTTAAATTTGCACACTGACTTTAATACCACAAAGTGTCAGCGACAGTCTTTTTATTAGAACCAGCTTTCATTTAGTGAAATGAAAAATGCATTTCATTTTATAATGCAGAGAACTTATTTAGCCCCTTTTTTAAGCATAGACTACATTATTAGTTTTCTTTAAAATTTTTTTCTGAGTACCTCAGTTTTTATCTGGTCACAGTAAATTTGTAAATTACTTGTGTCATTTCAATCTGAGATTTAGTAACTTATATGATTATTTGAAAAAGATGCCTATGGATGTGGAACATTTAATTTTCATAAAAATTCCTCCTCCATATTTGCAGAATGATTTTAAAAAGCAAAATGTGACTTAACCATGGTAAAACTGAAATTACCCATTTCATTTCAATCTGAGATTTAATGACTTATGTGATTATTTATAAAAGGTACCTCAAGATGTGGGATATTTAATTTCTTTCTGTCCCACTTCTGATGGTTTCAGACAGTACTTTCAGAATGATTTAAAAAGGCTAGGTATGACATGGGCAGTGAAATGATCTGTTTTTGTGAAATCTCAATTGCTTTTATCTGTTTTGTTTTATTAAGAATGCACTATTTAATTAACTTATTTTTGTAAGCCACATGTTGTACATTTGTGGTGTACAAGAAGTTTATGTGTGCTTAACAAAAATTAAATATGCTAAAATCTGTATATGAAATTGCTGCAGTCCATAACTTTAAATGCAGAATGATTCTGTTTTATCTCTGACAAGTCACCAAAAAATAGTAACTGGTTTAAAAGTTTGAAAAATGTAATGGCTTAAGTTTTGGTTAAGACTCAAACCCACATCTTTCCCAGCCTATGATTGTACTATTATTTCTTATTGAAATAATCAATAAACAATTCTGGATTATTTTTATTGAGAAGATTTGAGTGATTTCATGCTAACTAGGTGAAACGACAATACTAGGTTCACCTTCTATCTCCCTTTTGTTTGCAGTAATGCATAACTTTTATTTTTTAGAACCACTCTGACAACTGGGCATCAGCTCCCTTAAAAACACCCTGTTTTTATATTAGGTCCATTGTCCATAGACAGGTTACTCTTTTCACTTGTGCTATCCAGAAACAGGTATTAAAATTCATAATTTTTATTTAATGATGAGATGCATTTAAGGATGAAGCTCTTTCCATCTGGAAGGAATGTGCCCTGACCAGGCTCAAGAATAACACATGGCTCTACATTAGAAAATACTCTAAAAAGTTGAGATCCTCTACAGTTCACAGACAAGTTGCTCTTATCATCTAAGCTAATTAGAGTCAGTACTCATCATAAGGTAACTTCTACCTAATGATGAGAAGAAAATTATTTGACTGTGTCATGACCAGCTATTATGCTAGCTACACAAGTAATGTTTTACTATTCCAAGGTATATTTTCTATCAAATTTTTCCATATAGTTTTATACCCACTAGTGACCGAGCGGTGAAGTCGCTGAACACTGGTAGTTCTGACCTGGGTTCGATTCCACACAAATGGGCTGGCTGCATGGATGTTTTCATGGTTTTCTCAATGTGTAATGTGCATATGAGCCAATTTCCCTTAAAAAATCCTTCACAAAGACATCCCTTTCCTTAGGCAGATAGCCCTAGTGTACCTTGACGTAATCTCAATAAACCAAACCATACACTTTTATAGTTCTAAAAAATATAAACGTGCATATCTTTTACTGCTTTATTTCACATACGCTGGAAAAAGTTAGTGCAACATTAAAACAATTACATGTAATTATTATTCTGTTAGAAATTAAAGAAACACTTCTGTTTCAATATCTTTCATACAACACAGAAACACAAATAATAAAAAAATCTGATGTGTACACCACATGACTTCCTTGTACGGAATATTAAACTATACGCATTTTTTCTTGCATTTCATTTAAACTTATGAGATTGAAATAAAACTACTTCGCCGACAGTGCATAAACCCCAATAGAATAAATGCATTCTTTAAAATTCACTTTGTTTACCAAAGCAACACTCTGGCGCTAAATTTACTTAACAGCATTATATTTCATTCATATTAGAATGCACAAAATTTATATCATTTATAGAATTATCTAATCGTTGCCACATGTTCTATTCAAATACTATAATAAAGCTAGAACTATGTATAAAAGAAATTAAGCAAACAAAAAAGAAACAGTTTTTCACAGACGATTGAGTATTTCTCATTCAATTAATTCAGTTTTCACTTCGCGACAAGGCAAAAATACATAAAAACTCAAAACATTTGTATTAAAAATTACGAAGTAAATCTTAAACGCTTATTTCCTTAAAAAAATTTCAGAAAGTATTAAGCATGATTTAAATAATAAATGAAGGCGTTATCTTTGTTGTTGCGAAGCTAGGTTTTTCTAGATCGGCAACAAATCCGCTACTCAGCTGTTTCAAATGTAAACAAGTGCAATGGCCACCATCAAATTCGGCTCAGCGGCATTTAAACAATTTTAAAATTGTTGATAATTCTAAAAATATTGCATACAGATTTACTAAAGGCATAAAACCCTTAACCGGAAGATAAAAAAAACATAATTCAATCATTTTTAAAGCAAAAAATGTACAATTTACAAACATATAAGAGTAAAGAAACTGAGATCACACTGAGCCGGGTAACAGAGTGGATATATTTATAAATATATTTATATACGTTTGGCGTGGCCAATTGAAACCAAAATACGAGATGCACATCTACATGTTATAGTAGTCTTATATACAAAATTTAAACGTTCTGAGGCTACTCGTTTTTGAGTTATGCAAGATACGCACGTTCAGACACCACGAAAAATTCTCTTCAGAATTCATTTTAAAGCATTTTTTTTTTTTTTTTTTTTTTTTTTTTTTTTTTTTTTTAGGAAAAGAGTCTTTTATTCTGCACAGATATCACGCAAGAACATCATTAAATTGCATTCGAAAGCGGTCAAAGTGGATATTTTCGTTGAAATATGCTGCCTGAAGCTTTTTGCGATTACAATACTTCCTTTTTACTTCGTACAAGGAAGTAAAAAGTTTTCACTATTTCTGGTCCAGCAGAGTCCATGGTATGAATTACATTTGCTAAATAACTGCTATATCAAACTCAAGTTATAGAGTTGTTGATGCAAATTTTGAAGCATATTTTATTAAGTACAGCTATTACATGTTCCTTTTTACTTCGTACAAGGAATTAAAAAGTTTTCACCATTTCTGGTTCAGCAGAGTCCATGGTATGAATTAAATTTGCTAAATAACTGCTATAGCAAACTCAAGTCTGTTGATGCAAATTTTGACGCATATTTTATTAAGTAGAGCTATTACATGATTTAATTTAAGGAATGTTGCTCATTTACAGCATTAAAAATAATACTGAAAATTAAAATTTTACTTTGTGCCTTAATTTTAATGAAGATTTAGATCCAATAAATTTTTGCAGTTACTTAGCAAAGTGGAGGAAAAAAAAGGTCTTTTTTTTTTCTTTTTTTTCTTTTTTTTTTTTTTAATGTAATATTCATGGTATTACAGCTTAACCAACTATCTAAAAGATAATTTTTCCGCATAATTTGCTTATTAAAATATTCTACCATATTTATCAAGTAAAATGTTAAAGCACATTATCATTAATTAGGAGAGATTTAAAAAAGAAGCATAGATAAGCAATAAAGGGCTGAATTTAATCCCCCCAAAAAGAGAGACCACAATGCAATGACTAATCATTGCATTCAAGAAATGTGATTCCATAAAGGCATTAAATTTATTCACTCACCCACAACAAAGAAGAAAAAATACACCAAAATATAACTAGTGTTTTGAGATAAGCATTTCAAAGAAATGCACATATTATTGCGCAGGAGGAATTTGAGACACCTTGTGTTGGAAATTTTAAAGCAGTGTTTATGTTATGTTGAAAACAATGGCAAAAATAAGAATTTTTGAATTGAATAAACAGAAAGAATATATACTATGCTGAAAGAATTGTAAAGATAAGAATTTCTTAAAATAAAGTAAAAGCAAAGAACTGCATACATAAAATGGCTTCTTAAAAATTTTTCCTGAGGAGATTGTAATGGAGAAGACTGCATTACTTGATCAGGCACTGGATGGCTATCTGCCTACACCCCATTTGAAATCTGAACAGCACCTGGCAATGGCATCCAAGAGATTTGTACCCCCTCATCTCCTATCACCAGCCTCTTCAAAAGACTGCTTACCACAAATCAATTGATTCGGCTTAATGTATTATTCATTAGATGAATACATATTGATATTTATGTATTTTTCATTCATATAAATAATGATTTAGCTTTATTATTTTAAAGTTTCTTACTTCATTGTGTTCATATCAAAACTTTTTCCTACATTATATATGTATGTTCATTTTGAATTTAATAACATATTAGCTTTAAGGAATTTAGAAAAGTCTCTAACATTTTTCCCAGTGCTCAAAGTACATGCATTTAACATACAAAAAAAGAGAACAATCATTAAAGAAATGTTATTTTAGCACTATTATATTATAAGGCATTTCTCCTGCCTTCTTAGCATGCCTTTGTAGTGTAGAGGTCTGTGGTTCGATTCCCGGCGAAGGAGTTGCTCATTTTTCATCTCTCTTGCATCCAAAATAATCCTAATGTCTCTACAATATAACTGGTTGCCTTACTATTATGTTAAAAACTATATAAAATGCTTAATTATTAATTAGCAAATAAAAAAAACCCTTACATAATTTTGTCTCAATATTTACTCGTTGCAGTTTATATAATATTTTGTCTTAGTAATGAGAAATTTCCATATTATAGATATAGAACTATTTAATACCAAGAAAAATTATTCAAGAATAAACTTCATCAAAAAGAGTTCACTATAAAATTGTAACATAGTAATAGATGACAGAATAAGTTTGAGTATCTCACAAGTTTATATTCATATTTAGAATACTTTACTTAGAGAACTACACTACAGAGATAAAATTATTGGAATGCACCTTTCTAATCTTACTAAAAAAAAAAAAAAGAACTCTGTATTTTTTAGGATAAATTATGCATTATGCTGAAAAGCTTTATCAAGAAATACTCATATCCTGTGCGTGAGAACATGTCTTCTTAGATCTGATTTCTGCACAAATTTCTTATCACAAAGACTACATTTAAACATGAATTCGCCAGTATGAGTTTTAAAATGTCTCTTTAAACTTGCATTCTGACTGAAACATTTATTACACACTTTGCAAATATATGGTCGTTCCTTTGTATGAACTAGCATATGTTTATTCAAATTATGTTTGTATGGAGTAAAATATGCACAAACAGAGCATCTGTGTAATTTAGGCAGAAAGCTGTCTTCAATATTTACTGTTGTCTCAAAATCTAAAATGCCTAAAAGAAAAAATAAATAAAAATTAAATCAAGAAAATAGCATTTGCAATTCAGCCTAACAGAAAACAAAATAAAGTAATATAATAAAAATATTATTTTGTGTACATGTCTTATTTTATTTAAATACATTTGATTGCATTAAACAAGTACAGTTACTCTATTTATATCATGATTAAAAATATCTACATCATTCAAATAATTCTTATTTGCAGAATCAGAGTTTAATGATATAATAGATTTTGATAATAAAAAAGAATAAATGTATACATCTGGCATTAAAAAAAAATTCATCATTCAATTTCATACTATAGAGGTGCACATGTTTAGTGACATCTAGGAAAAAATACTAACAAATGATGGATAATGAAATTAAAATTGAAGAAATGTTACCAGCTCTAAACCCAAAAACTTCTCAAAATAACAGATAGCTTGATAAATTTCATTTGAAGTGTGTCATAAAATGCAACTGCATATGTGATTTCCGTCTGAATTTTTTACCACAAGCAGAGCATTCATATGGACGCTCACCAGTATGAATCCTTAAATGTGTTTTGAGATTTTGCTTCTGACTGAAACACTGGTGACATACAGCACATATATATGGTTTCTGGCCACTATGAACTAATAGATGTGTCTTAAGATTATACTTATTTTCAGTAGAATAGCTGCAGAATGAGCATGTAAACTTTCTATTTTTTGCATAATTTCTGTATGCTTCCATCCTGGTCCTACTGCTAAAACCTAAGGGAAAATACAATTATAAAAATGAGGTATAACATTTATCATAATTTAAAAGAGAGAGATTAATTTATCAAATAAATGCACAAAATTTTTAATGTCACTATATAAATTTAGATATTAAAAACTTTTACAGCTCTAAACAAACAGCAAAATACAAATTAATTTCAAAATTTTAGTTTCTATATAGAAATATGAATACTTTAGTTTTATAAAACCTTTCTTTAAATTTTATTCAAATAAAAATAAAAAAACCATATTCATAATTTACCACAAAGATTTTACACACAATCTTTGTCAGCAATACAGACTTCTGTGATCATTTAAAAATTTACACAAACAGAAAAACTCTGGCGGTTATCAATTATTAAAAAGTATATATTCAATTTGTTTTAAACAACAGAAAAGAGACAACAAGACTTTTAATTCCTTAACTATATATTATGATAACATCAAAATGATTACGAATTCTCAATTCCTTACACAAAAATAATTCTGATTTGATTCTCTATCTAAATGTTCCCATTATACTATAATACATGATGAATTAAAAAAAAGGAGAAGTATATCATAACAGTTTAGTTTAGTAGTTAGTTTAGGTACTTCTGGTGGTATGAAATCACACAAATATTAATTTTTCACCTGAAACTCTTAATGAAAGCATTAACAGTTAACTGAAATCATCTGAAAACTGTTACTACAGTAGTTTCGGAATCACAAAGTTTGAAGTTAAACAAGATATATCAGTACAAATGAAAAAATTTCAAGGAAATGAAGATGGAAGGAAAGAAACAAAGGATCACTGAAATTTCCTTACATCTTCACTTCTGAAAGATTCTAATATTTTTGTCCATTTTGATTTATTTGTTTGGATCTCAATCAAATTATTTCTAAAAGGCTCCTTTTTAAGGAAGCATATTTATAATTATGTATATTAATAAAATATGTAATTTATGTAAGAATATCTGTAATGCATATAATGATCATAAAAAACATTCAGTTCCATAATTTCATCCATACGAAAATTATGTTAGTTCATAACTTGCTTATTTTAAAAATAAAAGTGGAAGAAGTGCTACGCAAAGTTCCATAGATCATATCAGATTCCAGAAATGGCAATAGCAATACATCTGTAGGACAAGTTACCTTACACAACTGGGGTAACTGATAGAGCACCCATTTTTTTCAGACATAGAGAGAGCCAAAGTATAAAGTTTTCCTTTGGGGCTTTATTAAAGCCTCTAGCAGTAAATTCAGAAAGACATCTGCATAACACCTGGTATTCTGAAGCATAAAACAAATAGATGCAAGAGCCACCATCAAAGTACATATAATTGCATATAAGCAGTGTAGAGAAAATTTGCAATTGGCAGTTTTTAAAGGCTATTAACCATTGCAGTTTTTTTTAAAAAATAAAACATGAAGTTGTATACTTGTTCGAGAAAAACTACATTTCATCACTGGTGTCAATATTTCCATATATCTTTCTCACAATCTTCTAAAAATAAAGATACAAGTGAGTAAAATAAATTGTATTTTGACACAAAAACATTTTACTCTCTTATTACTTATGTCCAAGTAAACAGGATGCTATTACAACTCGATTTTACTTTTCCCTTATTTTTTTACTATTACATTTTGACATAAAAACATTTTACTCTCTTATTACTTACGTCCAAGTAAAATGTATGCTATTACAACTTGATTTTACTTTTCCCCTTATTTTTTACTATGTGCACACAGGGTAAACAATCCATAAAGTACTATTACTTCACAGAAAAAATGATGTGTATTTTATACGAGTTTATTATGAATACAGTATTTTATTTAAATTAAGCAAAATTTGATAAGAATTGGATCAGATAAAGAATGAGTTGTTAAAATATTCACATTTGAGTATAAAACTCCAAACCGCTAGCATAAAATATAGTACAAATATTTAACAAAGATGCACAGAGATCGAAAAATAATCCACATAATGAACTTAAGTCTTGCATGACGAATTGCATGCTATTTTCCTCCCTCACTAAATGTGAAGCTAAATTTATTTACTTTGGGCTTTAATAACATGTGAATACAAAAAACTGATTTAAATACCACATTTAATAGAATTACAATCATAAATGTGTCCTATATTGATAACAATCATATGCCTTTTTATTCCTGTGCACATTGTGAAAGTGGTCTTCCATCCATGTGGCCATTTGTCTTGTGAGTAATCACAATTGTGGGATTTCTTCTATAGGCTTTTGTCTGGAAACCACCTGCCATACAGAAGTAATAGCACAGGAATAATAATTTCTCCCCTTCACTTCAAAAAATAAGATTTTGTATTTCCGATTTGATGAATATTTTACGATGCATAAATCCAAAAAGAAAAAGGAATTAACATGTTTGTTTTCTTAGGAATACATTAATAATTTAAAAATGACTTAAAATCCTCCCTAGTGAGCAAGAATAGTTTGGAAATCATTTTTATACAACAGAGGGATATAAGAAATGAACTGAACTCACAGACTAAAAAAGACCAAAAGCACATGTATGACAGCTAGTGAAGAAAATGAATGGACAATCATATTTTAAACAATGCAGGTCACTCTTCTCCCTTTTTATCTTCACAAGTCATAAGATAAACAATTCAAATTAGTAAAGCTTATTAACAATTCTGTTTCATTAAAATTTTCAAAACTTCTGCTTTTGTTCTAATTAACACTTGCTCATCATACAGGTGGCAAGATCAATATGTAAGAATAAAATCTACAAACCATGTTTTTTAATGTCTTGTATATATTTAACTCAGTTTCGCTTGTTTCAAAATGCATAATATTTTTAAATGAGTTAAATTAAGGAAAATACTGCAATAGATTTAAAAAGCTTTTTTTTTTCTCCTTTTAAGAGAGGAATAACAAAATTATACACAATAACAAAGGTTATATGTCTTAAATTAAATGAAAAATCACAAGCAATTTTTAAGAAATTAAGAAATAAACTGTGAAATATGAAATGTAAAAAATAATAATAATAATAAAAATAACATAAATAAATAAAACCACATCCTTTTTAAGAATTTTTGCAATTTTTTTCTAAACTGATATAGTTTTTATACCTAAGTAAAACAAAAGATAAGTTACACTCAAGTTAAAATACAACAAAATAAAAAGACAAACGGAAATAAAAGTTCTTTATTGAACAACGGAAACAGTCATTTTTTGATGAAGTCTTCAAACAAAGTGAGATATTTCTTAAATTATAAAACAAGGTTTTCCATTGCAGTAAAATAGAAATTTCCTCCAGTGTTTACCAACCAATTCAATACAGCCGGTTTAAGTTCATCATCACTTCGAATATGTTCACTAAAGAGGTCATTCTTCATTTGTCCAAACAACATCATTGTACAACACTAATCAGACTTATATGGTGAGTGGGGGCCGAACCTCCTGTCTGAACTTCTATAGCAACATTTGCATTTTCTGAACTACATGGAATCTAGCATTATTGGGCAGCTGTATGATGCCTTCGCATAATTTGCCATGTTGACGGTCTCTGATTACCTTTTCAAATTCTGTAACGTTTAGCAACATGAGTCAGCTGTTATTGTTTGTTATCCCTTTAGCCATGAATTTGGTGTAAACAGCAGTTGAAAAATATGGTAGCCTACAACTCTTCCAACTGACAGTTAAAGTTGGGTTTTTGCCTTTGGGAGATGTCTGGAGTAGCTATTTCATAGTGGAGCATTTCATTGTGAAGCTATGATTCGTTTCCTGTGATTATGCAAAACAGGAATTTGTTGCTTTCTGTAGCATATGGCTGTAAAGGATTGAAGCAAGACAACAAATGTTGTGAGGCAATCAAAAGCTGTGGCAACCATGTCACACACAGTTTTTGATACTGGGGGTGCTCGTGAATAATGGAATGCATACTTCCATATGAAATGCCCAGCATACTCAAAGTTTCCTTTATATTTATGTGCCAATTGTCTGAAGAACTTGTTTGACAATGGCAACAGTTTCAGCACTGATGGAGGTTGCAAGTTACTCTAGGCGATAATGCTCAGTGATAATGGTGCAGGCATTTTCTGATTGGTCACACCCCTCTGAACTTCCAGACCATAATATTACATGCTTGCCATAAACAATGAACACTTCATGGTGAATTTCTGTGAAGTTCAGCATTTAGCCTATAAAAAACGTAAAGTTCCTCTTACTTCCAGTTTGGAGTACAGATATAGCTGACAAAACATTACAAACTGCTTTCCAAATATGCTCAGTGGAAAAACACCACTTTTGAAGCTCTTGTATCTGTTCTCCAATCCTGTGAAATTACTATTTTCTATTTACAATACATTTATAACTGGCACCAAGTGTCACTTTCTTTTTGATTCCCTCAAAATATCTGAAAATAGTTATAATACATCATAGATAATCTATTAATTTTTTTTTTTTTTTTAATTTACAGTAAAAAAGCATTCAAAGAAAATTATTTACATATAACAGTAGGCATGAACTACTCATAAATGTATTTAAAACTTGATATCAAAATTAAATTCTCTGAAATTTATGCTTAAAATACCTAAAATAAAATATTTTGCTTTAAAAATATGCATTTAATTATATAACTCTAACAAATATCAGCAGAATCAACATATATATTATTCAACCTTTATTAAGTAATCAGTTTTACAGTAATAAATTATACCTACTAATTTAAACCATAGTAAAAAAAAATACTGCACAGGAAAAAATAACATTCACTAAAACTACACACAAAATGTTTTGAAGTTAATTAGTAAAGTACTTTAAACTGATGACAAGCATCTAAACAGCCTGATTTAACAAAATACAAATACTTGTATTGAGTTTCTTTCTTCCTTTCAATTTCAAAGTTAGCCAATTATGCTATACGACATAATATTAACCTAATTTCAATGCTAATCAGGTATTTAAAGAAAATAGAGAGGGAATGGGATAGGGACAAAAAATTACTTTAAAAAGTCTCCTTTACCAGAAAAAAATTCAAGTGCAGTGATCAATAATGTTCAAATATGCTATATTAATAGTTTTTTTACAATTACACTTTCAAAAATACATCTGCAAACCGATGTTTTCATTAATAGTTTTTAATACAAAGAGTATAAACTAATGGGCATTCTCCAGTACGAGTTCTAAAGTTAGTTTTCAGACTTTGCTTTTGACTGAAAGCCTTGTAGCATACTGGAAATTTCAATGGTCTTTACCAAGTGAGAACCAAGTGAGACTACACGCAGGTGAGATCCTTTTTTGGTGACATAACTGCATTAAGTACTTATAAACACTTTTATCTTTTTTTAAAGCACTGCATGCATCCACAAAAGGCATGCTGTTAAAAATTTTAAAAAGAAAAGAAAATCCATTTTTTATTATGACTGCCTAACAATTTCAATCTGATTATCTATTATACTCAAAAAACTTACATAAATAAATTCAAATAGATAAAACTTCATAAGCTTTTAATGCGCTAAACGTGAAGCTAATTTCATTTTACTTTTTCATTTATGCAAATGCCCACACAAATTTCCTTACAATGTCTAGAGAAAGATACTTCACAAAATACTCCAACCAACAGAAGACCTCATCTTCTACTGAAGGGAACCAGAGTACATAAAACTACCTATAAGAATTACAGAACCAATCCCAAAACAATATAGAACAGCAATTCTCAACCAGTGGTACACAAAGAAACAAAGTATTTTTAACCATTAAATACTAAAACATCCTGTTAAAATTTTTTCTCTAACACACGTAAATTTATGCGATTCGAGCTTTAATGAAGGTCAATAACCACTCACAGACTTAGAGACATTGATAAATAATTTCAACATGCATTTTCCCAAGAATTATGAAATAGAAAATTGGATTAAAAATACATTTTGTTCAAATCTACCTGAAATTTTATCTCACAAAGAAAAAGAGCAGTTGGTAGAAATTTCCTGTGATCAAAGTCTAACTGAAGATTTCAAATACAGTACAAATTCTGTAATCCAGATGTCTATTATCCAGAATGATCTATAATCCGGACCTCAAAGACCTAAACTTTTTTTTGTATGCTTTACGCATGCACATTTAATGTATAACGGATGGTATAAGCTAAGCTAAAATTATCTAGTTATCTATTTCAGTTAATGTTGCAGATTGCGTTGTTCCTTAATCTTCTAATTGGATCCGGCTTATTATTTTTTGCAGACTGTTAAAGCAATTTTATAAAAATTAGGCTTGAACTTTCGATTATGTCTAAAAGAGTTTCCAATTCTGGAGCTGCCAAAGGATCTACAAAGCGAAAGCATGTTTCGATGTCATCAAACAAAAGTGAATTGCTGCAAAAATGGATAAAGGCATATCCGTCTCAAAATGATGCGAGGAAAAGGACATTGGAAAGTCAGATGTATATGACATAAGTGAAAAGAAAAAGAAATTTTAGAATTTTTTGTGGATTCCAACACCCCACTTGCAATGAATAACAGAAAAAGGGTTTGTTATGCCAAAAGTGACGATCATGACAAAGTGATGATTGAATGGGTCAGACAGCGTCGCAGCGAGGGCGTGCCATTGACGAGTCCAATGCTAATGGCTCAACCCACAATATTTCATGAAAAAATGAACTTAAACACTCAGTGCACATATTCAACAGGTTGGTTAACCAAATTTAAAAATCGCCATGGTACAAGACAATTAAAAATTTCAGGTGAAAAAGCTTCAGCTGATACTGAAGCTGCTGAACCATTTGCAGATGAATTCATTGAATTTATTACTAGTGAACAATTATCTCCAGAACAAATTTACAACGCTGATGAAACTGTTCTTTTCTAGCAATATGTACCACGAAATACCTTGGCAACCTCTACAGAAAAGGCTCCAACTGGTGTCAAAGATTCCAAAGCGAGACTAACAATTTTAGCAAGCACAAATGCTGCAGGAACGCACAAGTGCAACCTTTTCATAATCGAAAAACATGCACAACCTCAAGCATTTAAAGGAGTAATGATTTTCCTCGTTATATATGGTGCAAATAAAAGAGCATGGATGACATAAGCATTGATGAATGATTGGTATGAAAATAATTTTATACCCGAGACTCGGCAACATTTGAATTCGGTTGGTTTACCTGATGATTCAAAAATAGTCCTGATTGTTGACAACTGTTCGGTGCATACTTCCCTTAAAATTTTAGTGAAAAATAATGTATCCATATTATTCTTCCCTCAAAATTGTATGTCTATCATTCAGCCTATGGATATGGGAATAGTGCACGTGCTGAAATGCAAACATAGAGTAGCATTTTTAAAATCTATGTTAAATTTCTTGAACAATGGCAAGACTATTCAAGACTTTTTGAAATTTTTTAGCATAAAGTCTGCTGTGTGGAGCATTGCAAGATCACGGGAGGATGTGTCTCCAGACACGTTAAAAAGTGCTTGGAATAATTTATGACCAGCTACCATATTTCATGGTGAGGACGATGAACATGTTATCCCCGAATTTGAAGGTTTTTGGACATTGCAAACTTAAGGTGAAATTTTCCAGTTATTGGATTTTGTAAAGAAATGTGGAGAAGCGGTAATAAATGAAGATGATATAACAGAAGTTTTTAATTCGACGGCAATGCCCCAATCATCAATCAACGGACGGCGAAATCTGCAGTATGGTTCTAGACCTAGAAAATACCGCTACCGATAGTGATAAAAGTGACAGAGAGGTTATTGAGAACGAAAAAATTTCGACTGACAAGTTAGTCAGAATTCTCGACACAGCAATTACTCAACTTGAACAATAGAACTTTGCAACTGAACAAGAAATTATGTCCAAATAAGAGAAACTATTAGCACAAAAAACGAAGCAACTTACATTAAAAGAAATGTTTAATAAAGTAAACAAAATTAATATTAGTGAAGAAAGTGACAGAGAGGTTATTGAACATGAAAAAATTTCGATTGACATGTTAGTCGGTATTTTTGACACAGCAATTACAGGACTTGAAAAGTGGAACTTTGTAACTGAACAAGAAATTTTGTCTGTTTATAGAATTAAAGAGAAAGTATTAGCACAAAAAACAAAGCAACTTTAACAACTTACATTGAAATATGTTTATAAGCAAACAAATAAATTATTAAGCTTTTTTTTTTTGTAAATTTTGATACCCTTTAGTTATAATTGCTCTTTATTTCATAAATTATGGTTTCATATTTTTAATTGTATAATTTCTGCATGCCATCTTAGCAGATTTAAATTGATGATCTATAATCCGGAAAAACCCCTAACCTGGAGTCGTCGAAATCCCGACGAGTCCGGATTATGGACTTTGTACTGTATAATGTACAGTAATTAAGGTTTTTTAAAACTGGAGAAGTGAAAAATGAGCAATGCCCTTGCCAAGATTCGAACCTGGACCTCTCGATACAAACCAAAAGTGCTAATCATTATATCACGAAGGCAAGCAGAAAGGAGGGAGAAAATACTTATAAACTCCCCCTTTTAAAGGGCGAGAGGAAATTAGGGGACCCAATCGCCAAATCCTGGTAGTGAAAAATCATCATCCACGACCCTTTTAGTTCAGTCTCCACAGTAGAAACATTAGATTTTTCTGATGTCAGAAAACTGAAGAAATGAGCAATGCCCTTGCCGTGTGCTAACCGGTTACACCACGAAGGCTTGCTGGAAGGAGGAAGAAAATACCTTATAATAATATACTTCCTAACTTTTACCTGACCCCCCCCCAAAAAAAAATTAAAGGCATTTCTATTAAAGCTATTAAATTTTTATAGCCTTTTTGTACAACCTATTTGTGTGAACAAGGATTTTCTTCCATATTACATTTGAAAAATACAGAAAATTTGGTAAATTGGCGATTTTTTGGCGAAAATTATGTGACCAACCCTGCTACAGCAACCTGCTAGTTTTGTTTTGGACGCCATTTTGTTTTCCCGAAGTAAAGGCATGTTTTTTTTTTCTACTAAAAATTTTTTCCAATAATCTCTAGCCGAATTACGCTTACTAGAAATTTTATGGAACAAAATGCTTAATCATGAAAGATTAGGTGCGAAATTGGCAAAGTGCAGAATCGCAAATGCTTGCCGCGTTTTTTAAGAATTGCACACACACGGTATCCATGTACAACGTCGACCTATTTTCACTTAAAAAAACATCCCAGAATTGCACAAATGGCATTGCCACACTCTTGACTTTATCTATGGACACATCGACCTTTTTCACTTAAAAAATTCAAGAAAACTGACAAAATTCAATCTTCTCATCTTCTAAAAGCGCTAAACAAATAAGTTGGGCGATCTGCACTTTAGTAGCGAATTGTTTCTAAGGCTTATTAGCTAAATCAAGGTCGGAATTTTCGGAAATGTCACATTACATGTCCTCAGGATCTCTTTCCTCTGAGATAAAATAATCTGCGATTCGAACTGTGTACTTATCAGATTATTGCTAAAGTCCTAGCTAGTAACCTTTATTGCCTTACCAAAATGTTGCCAAACTATCTGTTACAATATTCTAAAGATTAGCCCAAAATTTTAAGTGGATCTTAATTTACAGTTAAACCTAAATGAAATAACACCAGATATAAAGAAACTGATCTCTCTTAAGCAGGCTCAAATAAATTCACACTAAAATTTAGAATTTAAGTATTACAACTTAATTTTGATAATTAAAATAGTAACAAAGTTTTAATCTAATATGTGTATATCTAATATATTTTTTATGTGTGCATATGTAATACAAGCAGCCGATAGGTTGTACAAATGACAAAATGTATTTTTTGAAAAATGTTTCTATTAAGAAACTGAAAAATAATCATTGTAAAATCTAATAGTGGTACTAAATTTTTTTAATTTTTGTTTAGATGGTATGAAGGTTGAGAACTGCTGATATATAACACAACTAAAAATTGTGACCAAAATACTTTTTCTAATACTTGTAAAGAAAAGCCTTATTCCTTTAAAAATGTGGCAGTAAATTCCATTAAAAATGATAAGATATTTTAATATTACATAACTTATTATGATTGTTAGAAATATGAAAAATATCATAAACTTGATATTTTAATTTTTCTACGACACAAAAATGATTTAAAACATTTAATACTTTTTTAAATGAAATAACTAACCAAGGATAAGAGAAATAAAAATAAAACTCGAAAATTCAGTGAAAATTCATATAAGAGAAAGAAAATTATATTCTTAAAATCGACAAATCAAAACCAGGTACTTCATGTATCACACTTTCTAAGTAAATGATTTAAAAATTGGTTTAAAATTCCTAGACATAATTTTTCCCTGACAAATATGCGATACAACTCTCATGTTAATGTGAAATTTTATAAATTGGAATGCATGTGTAAATTAAATTATGGCATTTATATACATATAAAAGTAAATATTGCTTTAAATATTTCATAGCGAATACTTTTAATGAAAACTGCACATTAATAAATCATTAGCCCAGATGGGCTATTAGTCTCAAAATGACATTTTGCATCAAATCGCTTTAAACGGCCAAATTACCTTTTAAATTGTCACCACCAAATATTATTGCTCTGAATTATATTTAAAGAGACTAAATAATGAAGAGTACATGAATGTACATAGGTTTCTAGCACTGTGAAAAAAAATGGTACCTAGAGTTGTTAAATTTTGAACAACATAGTCCTCCAACCAAACATGGGCACCTGGAAGCCCAAATTTAAAATTAGCTTTGTTGTCTATTACATATTTGTAAAACTTCAATGAATTTTTCATTAAAAAACTCAACAATTTCAAAGCTAGCAGTGGTAACATTGTAGCGACTAAAACATTTTTATCTATAGCGCATAAGACTGTCTATTAGAAATTCTAAAGATAAACTGGTTTTAAATATTTTTAGTCCAATGTGGCATTAGCACAAATGCTCTCAAAAAATGCGTTTGTAAATGAAAAAAAAAGATGCCTGTTTTGGACATACTATAAATCTGAAAGCTTTCAGATTTTATTTAAATTTTTTATTTATTTCGTATTATGTATTTGTTATTAACATGTTTACACACGTATTTCTTTGTGATCAAGTCCTCTAACAAAGGTAGGTAACAAGTGAAAAGAATTTCTCAATAGTTTTAGATGTTTATTTAAAAAAGCCTGAAAATGTAGTGGTATATATAATTTTTTGTATCAATTATCTATCACACATGAAGAGAAATGGTGTAGCACTAGGGTGCCTGGGTTACGAGAACCCTACCCCTTATAGAACGGCTAAGTAGTTGCAAATTATGTCCAAAAAATAACTAGAGCATAAATTGAACACGTGGAAACAAAATTACATAAGTCTCCCATCCATTTGAACAAGTGATTGCAACTTGCAATAATGAATAGTCATCTCCATAATCGTAATAATGAAAATAGCCTACTAAGATGCACAGAATTAGTCCTTAATTTTGATCTTCCGCAAACTTCACAAGCATCATCCCTGCTCTAAACCCCTCTGTTAGTTTTTTGACGGTAGACTTTGCAGCACGAATTTTCGCAATGTGATCAATCATGCTTCGCAGAAAGCTGTTGACTTTTCTATCTCTCAGACAACTGACTGTTTCTCCACGATCATCTGGGAGAGGTTGGAATAATTCCTTAGCTTTCTCACTGTGGGGAAGTGCTATTTTCCTTCTCGGTACTACCAGTGCTTTGCTTGGGAGTATGGGAAAGTCATCACCAATCTTTACGAACCCATTAGGATTAGCAGAGGGCTTCTTCTCTGTTTTCTTCTCAAATTTCCTTCTAATATCTACAACCACAGTAGCTGCTGACATGATTTTCTCGACAATAAATACAGGTCGCTGCTTCATCTTGTCTGAGGGGGCATTCCTTACTCCTGTGAGAATTGCTGCACTTGCAGCATCACTCTGAGTTAGCCCACAGGCGCTGAGAGTGACCCCACTTCTGACACCTGTAACACTGTATTGGCCTCTTTTGCGGATTATACTTCTCAACCTTGATATTGAAACTGAACATACTGTCCACATTAAAGATAGCGTATCCTAATTGGTTCTTCTTCAGTTTGAGCAGAAAAATGGGAAGCTTCTCAAAATTCTTTGATTTTCCTTTTCGAAATTGTTTTACCTTCTCAAAAGAGAATAGCTGCCTTTCAAGATCGTTAAATATTGCTTCCTCTTTCACCGTGTCAGGTAAGCCTTTCAGTATCGCTTGCAGCGGTTTCTCACTTGGTAACCGAAATGTGTGATATAGTTTGCTCTTCCCTTGTAACACTTTTGTAGTGTTACGATAGTCCTCGATAGTTTTAACATTGATGTAAATTGCTGTAGACTTTACGTTAGCCCAGAATGTTCGAGAACATTCTGGGCTAAACCGGTAAGAATT